CTTTGCCCCCTCCTCTGGGCTCCTGACTCTTTCTGCAGCCTTTCTACCTCTACTCCTTGGCACCTTCTAACTGCTGTCTTTCAGTCACGCCCCCGATCTTCAGGTAGGAAAGATCTACACCTAGCCTTCTCGGACAAAGGCGAAAAATCTCCGAGGGCCCGTGTGCAAGTTGCGCACGTTAAAGATCCCTTGGTGGTCTAAAATCGATAAGAGCAGGCTTCGGCCGCCAGCCGGGCAAAATTCCAAATTTCCTACCAACTGAACCTATTAGGTGTGTCCCGCGCGCTCATATGACCTTATGCAGTTGCGAGCGCCGTAAAAACACTTACCAAAACAAACAAACAAGAACACCAGTCGTGCGTTCATTGGCGGCACGGCAACAGTCAGAGCAATGTAAACAAGTAACATTATGATACAGTACTCACTCACAAGCAATTACAGCTCCAAGACAACAAGACAGATTCTCGATAAAACAGATTTCACCTTCTGCATGCCACATGGAAGAGCCTAAACCTAAGTACCAACCATTACGCAGAACATTAACTATAGCGCCAATTCCCTTTGAAAGCACTGTAGTTTCAAGAAGGTGATTTGATTATGTGAGGGAGCCTGGCTAGGACAGATTGCAGTAATCCATGCCGTTACTGTGTTCGTATGGATAGGATAGCTGGGGGTGGGGTGTAAGTGTTTTACGGCACTTGCAACACAATAAGGTGCCGATGATTAGAGTAACAAACACAAAAAGAAGGAGAGGAGACAGAGACGATAGATATTTTATATAGGAAAGAAAGAGCAAACCACACCAGAGCACCCGGAAACCACCCACTAATATGGATAAACGGAGGCACATCGATACAAAAACAGACATGCAGTGCTGGGGAAAAAGCAAGACGGACACACAGAAACAACAAGAGGGAAGGAAAAGAAATAGGAAAGAAGGAGGAAAGAAGGAGCAAACCACACAAGAGCACCCTTCAACCACCCATTCGGCTGCTCAGTATAGCAAAAACAATCAAACCACCACACAACGATATTCCGATGCACTTACCTGTTCATCAACGAAGACGTGGAGGGATGAAACAAGCTATATCCAGTGCTGTGCAACAAGCCCACGATACGACGTAACCATCAGTTCAGGGAACTCTCACGAAAAGTCCAAGCTCAGTCCCTTTACCGAAGTTTCCACACTCGAATCACTCACAAACTGAAAGGAAATAGAAAAAATCCCATAAATATTCTTCTTCTTTTTTCTCTCTTTTCTTCATTTTTTTGGGGGGTTTTTTTGGTAAGTGTTTTACGGCGTTCGCAACTAATATTTTCAGTTGGCAGAAAATTTTGAATTTTGCCCGGGTGCCGGCCGAAGCCTACTTTTAACGATTTTGGACCACAAAGGGATCTTTAACGTGCACTACTTGCACACGGGACCTCCAAGATTTTTCGCCCTTGTCCGAAAAGGCCAGGTGTATATCTTTCCTACCAGAAGATCAGGGGTGTGGCTGAAAGACAGCAGTAAGAAGGAGCCAAGGAGACGGAGAAGCAGTGGACAGGCTGCAGAAATAGTCAAGAGCCCAGATCTGGGGAGGGGGCAAAGGAGGTGAGGGGGTAGGGGCAGAAAGTGGAGACAAAGCAGA